AGCATCCTAGCAAGGCCTAAAAGAACAGAGATTTTAGCAGTCATTTACCACAGAGGAGAGAGAATTTGGAGTTTGAAAGCAGCAAAGTTAATAATCTGCCAAATCAAAAAACAAAATGAATCAAAAAATACTCTTTTTGAAGATCACTCAAAATGTTCCAGAAAATATGGGCACGTGGGTGGCCCAGTCAGTTAAGTATCTGACTCTTGATATCAACTTAGGTCTTGATCTCAGGGTCTTGAGTTCAAGCCCCTTGCTGCTCCATGCTGGGTGTAGAGCTCCCTTAAGAAAAAAAGAGTCACTACAGCAAAAACTGATGATATACTATATGTTGGCTAATTAAAAATAATTTAAAAATGTCCAAGATATAATTCAAAATTACTGGACAGGAAAATTTTCCCATATTCAAAAGAAAAGGCAATTAATGGAGACCAAACTAAGATTACCCAGATGTTAGAATTACCCCATAAAGATTTTAAAGTAGCTATTTTATATATATGCTCAGTAATGTAAATAAAAAATACACTTAGGATGAATAGACAAATAAGAAATCCCAGAAGAACATCATCTATAAAAATGGAAATTATGGAACTGAAAATAAATATCTGAAATAAAACTTAAAAATTCCAGATTTCAATGAACAGGCTTAAAAAGTGAGTAAAAATAGAGTTAGGTTTTCTAATTTAAAAAAAAAGAAAATGGGAAAAAGATTAAAATAGGAATGAATAAAGGCTCAAGGACCTGAGGGATGATATCAAAATGTTGAATATATATTTAATTGGAATCCAAGAAGGAAAGGAAGGAGAAGACAGAGTAGGAAAAAAATTTAAATAAAAGTTGAAAATTTTCCAAATTTAGTGAAAACAGAAACTTACACACAAAAGAAGGTCAACAAATTTCAAGCTGAATAAATGCAAAGAAAATCCATTTAGGTACATCATAGTCAAACTACTAAAAGTCAAAAGTAAAGAGAGAATCTTGAAAGCAGCCAAAAAAAAAATGATACATTACATGCAGGGGGAATAATGATACCAATAAATATGGACTTCTAACTGGAAATAACTGAGGCCAAAAGAAAATGACATGTCATCTTTATAGTGCTGAATGCAAACAAATAAAAGAAAACCCTGTTAGCCCAGAATTCTATAACCAGTGGAAAAATATGATTTTGCTCATATGCGGAAACAAAGTAAACAAGCAAAGGGGGAAAAGTGGGGGGGGAGCAAACCAAGAAACAGGCTCTTTTTTTTTTTTTTTAAAGATTTTATTTATTTGAGAGAGAGAAAATGAGAGAGAGAGAGCATGAGAGGAGGGAGGGTCAGAGGGAGAAGCAGACTCCCTGTGAGCAGGTATCCCAATGCAGGAACTGGATCCAGGACCCTAGGATCATGACCTGAGCTGAAGAGAGTTGCTTAACCAACTGAGCCACCCAGCCATCCAGAAACAGGCTCTTAACTATAGAGAACAAAGTGATGGTTACCAGAGGGGAGGTGCGGGGTGATGAGTTAAATAGGTGAGGGTGATTAAGGAGTGCATTTGTGATGAGCACAGAGTGATGGATGTAAGTGTTAAGTTACTATATTGTACACCTGAAACTAATATAACACTATATGTTAACTAACCAGAATTAAAAACTGAAGAATTCATGGAAAAGAAAAAAATGAAAGTGAAATAAAGATGCTTTCACAAATACTAAGAGAATTCACGACTAGCAAAACTTAACTCTAAGGAATCTAAAAGAAGTTCTATAGGCTTCAAGGAAATGATACCATTTGGAAATGCAGATTACAGAAAAGAGTGGAGAATATCAGAAAAAGTAAATGCAAGGATAATTAAAAAAAAAAACCCACTACTTTCCCCCAAATACCCTAAAACACATATTTCATTTACAGTAAATGAAAAATATTTTATTTATATTAAAGCAAAATTTTAACTTTTTAAAATGGGTTTATAACACACATAGATATAATACACAAAAACAATTACAGCGTAAACAACAGGATGTTGGTGGTGAATGGGTCTATATGGTTGCAAGTTTCTTACAATTATTTTAAGTATTACTATATTAACTCTAAGTAGACTTTGGAAAGTTAGGATGTATACCGTAATCCCTAAACCAGCAGCTGGCAAACTACAGCCTGGGGGTCAAATCTGAACCAGCACTTATTTTTACAGAAAATGTTTACTCTGTCCTGACCTAGAATAACCACTTGAAAATAACAGTTCAAAGAAGTATAACTAAAAAGCCATTATCTAAATTAAAATGTGGTGCTCAATGCCAGAAGAAGACACTGAACAACAACAGCACCACTACAAAGGAAGAACAATCATAAAGTGGTTGATCAAAGTACAACCAAATTGATAATTGCATTAAATGGATACGGAGCAAACACTAACTAAAAGGTAGAGATTTTCAGAATGAATAAAAAAAGAAAGGCCCAATTATAAGACACTCACTTTAAATACCAAAACGCAGATGGGTTGCAAGTAAATGAATGGAAAAGATAAGCCATACAAATCGCAAGCATAAGTAGGCTGGAGAGGCTTTTTAACCAAATAAAGCCAATTTCAAAATCAAACAGTATTATCAGGAATGAAAAGTATTACCAGAGATATGGAGGAATATTTTGTAAAAATAAAAAGGGTCAGTTCATCAGGAAGACATAATAATCATACACATGAACTCTAAAAATAGTGTTTCAGAATATATAAAGCAAAATTTGACAAATTTAAAGAAAAAAACGTAGAAAAACAAAATCATAGTGGAGATTCAACACTCCTAACTCATCTACTGAAAGAATATCTAGATTTCTAAAAAATCATTAATAGTTATAGTTTTTATAAGATTTAGAAATCTAAAAAGAGCTACCCAGGTTTTATCACCTTGATAACACCATGGATCATGGCCTTTCCTCTTAAGTCAGATCTACATGTGGATGGAAGGCAAGTATAGGAAACAGAGTTGGCCCATAGACAAATGCAATTTTGCTGGTTACCTTGACACGCTATGTGTTAGAATTTTTTATTTCATACCTGGCTTTAGAACTATAATTTAGAGATGTCTCTTTATTTTATAGACAAGGAAAATACCATCCAGAGAGCTAACCCATTTAATCAAACTCAGTAGCTATTAGGAGCATGTACTGGAGGAAAGGTCAATCAGACCTTCAATATATCTTTCTATTATACAGCACTGCCTGCTAGTCAACAGTTGCATGAATGACTAGAGACATTGTGGAGGATCAAACCAATCTTCAGGGCTGTCTCAATTTCTTGGACTGATTGATCCTAGTTTCTGTAAAAAAAAAGTCTATTTCAGTTGAGTCAAGAAGAAGGGGACAATGTAGGTAGAGGGCCATGTAAACCTCAAAAACTACTATCAACTTATGATTTAATGTACGACCCATGTCATCCACTAACGTAAATTTACTCAATTTCCTGCCTTAAGCCATGGTTACAAAATGGTTCTAATGTCTTTTATTTGATTGAGGAAGTCAAACATCACATTTCACATTTATCTAAGCATATCTAATAGGCTGCATATGAAAGTAAAAATTTTTTTTTAATTTTTTATTAACATATAATGTATTATTAGCCCCAGGGGTACAGGTCTGTGAATCGCCAGGTTTACACACTTCACAGCACTCACCATAGCACATACCTTCCTGAAAGTAAAATTCTAAGGAATGTCGACAATATATAAAAGAGTAAGTAATTTTACTTCTCTAGGCCTCCTTTCTCTACAGTAAAGAATGACCATGATGAGCTTCGAATTTTTCTACTCATTGCCATGTATTTTAACAGTGCAGCAAAGTGGAAAGAATATACAGAAACACCATTTGCATTGATATAACAGAAACCCAGATGATGAATATTAATACTCAAAGAATTTTTGGGGGGAATGACTTCAATAGATAACATTGTCACAGACAAATTCTTTTCCTTGGATGTAGTCATTTTTCTCCTTCAGGTCTCTGGTATTTTAGATCTGACCACTGTCAAATATAATGCCGTTATGGGAAACAACAGGCAGGGGGCAGCAGATTTCAAAGAGGAACAAGTAAACAGTGACCTTAGAGACAACTATAATAGCAGAAAAAAACATTTTTCTCTTACCTTTTTCTGACTCTTCAGTTGCCATCTATTTAAATTATTATTTATTTTTATAACTTTAAATTGTATATATAGATATGTATATGATAAAGCCAGATGTCATTACAAATTATAATTATAAAAATTATGATTCTAAATAAAAATACACGAGATGTATGAAAGCTCAATTAAACTTATGTATTCAAAATTTTATATACATGTACTAACATATGTGTGTATACATATGCATATGTGTATCTTTTTGTGTTTTTTTTTTTTTTAAGTATGTCTCCCCTTCATTAGGGGAGACATACTTAAAAAAAAAACAGAAAAAGATACATATCTGCATATCTTTTTTAGCTGACAGTCTCCTGCTTGTTTCTGCACTATGGCCATAAAAAAGAACTTGTTGCCACTCAGGGGAAAAATTGCATACTTCTGAAAAGATGTTTTGATAGTAGGAAAATATCTAGCATTGTATAATATTAAAAATTCTTAGAGCAGTGGCATGGAAAAGCATGGTGACACACACACAGCCACATTCCAAGGGTCCAAAAACACTCCAACAGAATTAAAATGAAAGTAGGCAAGAAATTCCTTGTTATGTTAGCTTTATTCATATTCCATTATATTTATATGATATCACACCATTTAATTTTAAGATGGATTTTATAGAAAAACTAATTATACCAGGGTGGAGTATAATAGTTATCACCATCAGCCTATAAACAGGTAGCACAAGGGCCTAAAATGATTAAGCAACTTGCACAAATAACCCATCCACCTCAAGACTGAAGGAGGAAAAGAACTAGTACTCTTTCAGTCTAATGTACTGATAACAACAATAGTTGTGCCAGAGAATAAAATGGAAAAAATTTATTCTAGCTTAATTATTCTTTATTACTTACTGGTTTCCCTTGAACTCCTCTCTCTCCAGGGTTTCCAGTCTTACCCTACATAAGGAAGAAAATGTATGAGTCCCCTAGCTCCTTCACCAAATATTAACCACACCCAAGAAAAACAGGGAAGATTTTATCTATTTATCTTTAATGTAATATGTTTTACTACTTACGATAAGACCATAGGGCCCTCTTTTTCCTTGATCTCCTTTTTCACCCTAACAAAGTATCAGTACCAGAGGAGTTAATATGAATATGAATTATGGTTTTACACGTGCTAGCATATACTCACATACAAGAAAATAGGATATCAAGTATATAATTCAAGATTCAAAAGAAAGTATTTGTCTGTGTAGAGTAAAAATTTTATGTATGTTTCATACTTTTACTAAGAGAAAATTTAGAACTACATTTTTGTAAGAAAATACAACAGTTTTAAATCAGGTAGAATACATATGGGCTCAAAAAAACGTAATGCATATGAAATGAAAAAATCAGTATTTACCTTGGCACCTTGTATACCTTGTTCCCCTAAGAGACCATCTGGTCCTCTTGGTCCCTAGGGATGGAAAAAGTTCTATTGTTGATCTGAAATGTTGTTATTATTTTTTTTACTGTTACACATCCTTACAAATGAACAAACTGTGTTCTTTTTGACAAATTCCTTCTGCTTGCTTCTATACCATGACCACAGAAAAGGATACAGCTAGATACATGGATGAACCTGTTTGTATGGGATAATCAAGCTTGTGCTTTCAAGATCTACTGCCAAATAATTAATCAGGTGGCCATAAAAACAGCTGATTCAGTTGTTGAGGTGATTATAATATAGGCTTGTCATTAGAATAATTTATTCACCTTATTTACGCAGGGGCCATTCACAATTTATTCTAAGAACAACTCTACATTAACTTAAAAGTGGCTGGCTTGTTTGTCCAATAGTCTTCTCAAGTTTCATATTTTTGGAACGGCACTCTTCTCTTTATTACAGAATGAGTGCTGACTGCATTGTACCCGCTATGCCCCTGCTTGACAACACTTACTGAAAGGTGGCCAGCGCACAGAAAAGGGACAGAAAATAATGCTGGGAATCTTCATGTAAATGTAAAACTTCTCAGCTAAGTTGCTATCAATATTTAGTCATCAGCTGTGAAGAACTGCTAGTTGTAAAAGTTACTCTCTAATAAAATGATGGTTATATGTCTCCATGCCTATAGAATAACTATCCTTGGAAGATCTTAAAGACTCTCAATCCTACAACACTGACAACACTACAATGTCTACTATGGAAAAGGTACTGCATTAAGTGTTATGGGGATACACAATTGTAAGCAAGTTTCTCCTTCTTGAAGCTTAAAGAATGGTAGGGTGAATTATATAAACGATGATGATACAGGTTGAGACAAAGCATTTTTTTTAATTTTTTTTTTTAAAGATCTTATTTATTTATTTGACAGACAGAGATCACAAGTAGGCAGAGAGGCAGAGAGAGAGAGAGAGAGAGAGGAGGAAGCAGGTTCCCTGCCGAGCAGAGAGCCTGATGCAGGGCTCGATCCCAGAACCCTGGGATCATGACCTGAGCCGAAGGCAGAGGCTTTACCTACTGAGCCACCCAGGCGCCCTGAGACAAGGCATTTTCAGGGCTAAAAGGATTCAAAGGACGAAGAGAACTTTCACATGTCTGTATAAGGAATAAAGGTATCATTCTGACAGCTGGAGATCATGCTCTAAAAGGAACTCTGGACAGAGGGATAGGATAAGAAAAGGGTACAGAGGCAGGAAAGAAGATACCCAAGAAAGAAGAAAGTAGTTTGTTTAGCTGGTTTATTGACTATAAGTAGTATTTCTCAATATTTCTAACTAAGTATTTTCTATACTAAGAAATAATTGTGGAAAGCCTGGGACTTAAAAGGTCAAAGACTGGAGTTTATATTTAAATCAATAGGTAATGAGAAGGAACTGAAGACTTCTTTTTTCTTTAAGATTTTATTTGTTTGAGAGAGAGAGCGGGTGCCTGTGCACTCAAGCAGTGGGGAGGGGCAGAGGGAAAGGGAGAAGTAGAATCCCCACTGAGCATGGAGCCAGACTCAGGGATCTGGGCCTCTGGGATGATGACCTGAGCCGAAGGCAGATGCTTGACCAACTGAGTCACCCAGGTGCCCCAAGAAGGCACTGAAGATTTCTATACAGAATAGTGATACAAATTTCCCAGCACAACAGGCTCCTTCTCTTTTCTCCCACCTGAGGTCAGCTTGGTTTAGCTTTATATTCTTAAAAAGCTGCTTACTGTAATAGGACTCTCTTCCTGGGTGCTCTTAGGATACTGCATTCCCTGATCCTCTTAGGCACATTCAGGGCATTAGAGAGAAGGTTCATACTCCATGAGATCTGTAGCTCTACCGGTCATACTAAAGTTAAAACCATAGCTCTAGCCCTTCAGTCTCAGTTTGTATTGAACGTACTCCACGACCTGGCCCTACCTTCTTTGCCCTATTTTCCCATGAAAGACTATCAAGCTGAGTTTCAGTCTTATTGTGTAGAACGTTGACTGTCAAGTTGAGGAATATGGATTCAATTTAGTAGGTAAGAGAGTGCTGTTCATTTAATAAACATTCGCTGAGTGCCTATTGTAAGCCAGGCATTGCTTCAGGCACAGAAGATACAGTGGGGAGAAGAGACACATCCCTGAACTCATAAGCAATCAAATAAATACCTAAAACTATAAAAGGACAGTGAGTAGTCAAATGTAATGAAGTAAATAAAGGAGCTTAAGTAGAGAGAATTCAAGATGGGGAACCCTATTTTAGACAGGGTAGTCTGAGAAGCCTCTCTAAAATGGCATATAGGCAAGATCATCCTGACAGAAGAAACAGAATCTACAAAGGTCCTGAAGTGGGCACATGCTTGGAATGGTTAACAGTTAAGTAACTGAAGAGGAAAACAGGAACAATTATTAAAGGATGACTTTGAAGTTTTAAGTGCAAAGATCCCTCAGGACCTCATTCTAAACATAATCGTCACCTTAAAAATTCAGCAGCCTATATTGATTCTCTTTCTCTGTCACCTTCTAAGCCCATTCTCCTCTTTCTGCCCTGTAAGAAAACACTTTTCAAAATTTTTTGGAGTTATAACAGAAGGTGGCTGAAGGAGTGTGAAAAGGAATGAGTGTTGTCCAGTGACAGATGGCAGCTACTCTTGTGATGAGCGTAGCATAACCTACAAAGTTGTTAAATCACTATGTTGTACACCTGAAACTAATGTAAGATTGTGTTACATTATTATTATTAGTGTTACAACTATACTTCAATTAAAAAAAAGGGAATAGGTGATCAACATTCTTAAACACGGCAGAAAACAAGTGAGATCTAGACTGAAAATGTGTCCACAGGGAATTAGGCACTTAACCCTTTTGCAACCTGAAATCTCTAGGTTGCTTGGATATTTTATGATAATAATTAGTAGAGTGATGACAGCATTAATAGCAAACAAACTGGAAGTGTAGGTTTGCTTGGGTGGAGAGGGAGAATGAAGCGAACACAATGAATGTGATTCTAGACAATCAACCACAATGAGGCAGATATCTCCAAGGCTAGTGCTAGAGAGTGAAAAGTCATTCTGTCTAGGTTTTGTTTTTTTTTTAATTTTAAAATTTCTTTTAGATTTTATTTATTTATTTGACACAGAGAGAGAGAGCAAGCGTGAAAGAGCACAAACAGGGGATGCTGTAGGCAGAGGGAGAGAGAGAAGCAGGGTCCCCGCTGAACACAGAGCCCGATGCAGGGCTTTATCCCAGAACCCTGGGATCATGACCTGAGCCAAAGGGAGACACTTAACTGACTGAGCCACCCAGGTGCCCACACTCTGTATAGGTTTAAATGGTAGCATCGAGGGGTGCCTGGGTGGCTCAGTGGGTTAAAGCCTCTGCCTTCAGCTCAGGTCATGATCCCAGGGTCCTGGGATCGAGCCCCGAATCAGGCTCCTTGCTCAGCGGGGAGCCTGCTTCCATCTCTCTCTGCCTGCCTCTCTGCCTACTTGTCATCTCCCTGTCAAATAAATAAATAAAATCTAAAAAAAAAAAAAAAAAAGATTGTTTGGTCTAAAGATGGCAAGTCTCTTTTCTTTTTTTTTTTTTTTAAGATTTTATTTATTTATTTGAGAGAGAGGCAGTGAGAGAGAGCATGAGCAAGGAGAAGGTCAGAGGGAGAAGCAGACTCCCCGTGGAGCTGGGAGTCCGATGCAGGACTCGATCCCGGGACTCCGGGATCATGACCTGAGCCGAAAGCAGTCGTCTAACCAACTGAGCCACCCAGGCATCCCAAGTCTCTTTTCTTATATAAGATCAGATTAAGAGGCTTCCCGGATATATACATAGAAAAGATTGCATCTAGGTCAGGAGGAAGATCTCAACATCAACTGCCAGTTTCTGCTTCTGAATATAAATCACCTAATGTCAAGGCTGAACTAGTGCAAACTCTGCTTTTTTCTGCTTTTTTAATATGAAGAAATGGAAGCCTGCAGGTATAAGCTGCCTGATTCATATGATGTCTAAATGTATAAAGACTTTAAATAGTTATGCTTTATTAAGTTTATAATATTTTTTCAAATGTTAGAAAGAAGAAAAGGTTAATCCTGTTAACAAGTGAATTTAGATTGAAAAGAGGACCTGAAGTTTAGAAGATGTTTATAAAATGAATATGAAACATTTATAATTAAAGTGCTGATTGGCATTATAACTGAAAGGAGCTCCCTCCTTTGCTCTAAGTATAGTAATTGCATTAATTAAAGGCAATAAAACCTAAGGTTGCTGGTTAAGAGGTTAAGGCTGAAAGAACTCTAAGGAAGCTTAATGCTCTCTATGTTTCAGTTAAGGCTAAACAAGCTCTAAGGGAGACCAACAGCATTAAAACAGGCATCTAATTGGGCATTAAGTTATTTTTTTAATATCTGCTTTAAAATATCTGATTATCAGGGCACTTGGGTAGCTCAGTCAGTTAAGTCTCTGATTCTTTTTTTTTTTTTAAGATTTTATTTATTTACTTGACAGATAGAGATCACAAGTAGGCAGAGAGGCAGGCAGAGAGAGAGAGAGGAGAAAGCAGGCTCCCCGCAGAGCAGAGAGCCTGATGTGGGGCTCAATCCCAGGACCCTGGGATCATGACCTGAGCCGAAGGCAGAGGCTTTAACCCACTGAGCCACCCAGGTGCCCCAAGTCTCTGATTCTTGATTTTGGCTCAGGTCATGATCTCAGGGTTGTGAGACTGAGATCTGTGTTGGCTTCCATGCTGGGCATGCAGCCAGCTTCAGATTCTCTTTCCTTCTCCTTCTGCCCCTTCCCCCAACTCATGCACATGTGAACTCAATGAATAAAATAAAATAAATTAAATATCCAATTATCTATAAAGCTCTTGGAGAATGTATGCTAGCTAAATAAAAAATCTGATCTTTTCCTCATCATCCGTAAGAAAAGTTAAAGTTTGCTACGATAAGTGGCTATTAGTAGGTTCTAAAAACTGGAATAAAGTCTGGTACCTCAACTATATAAATTAAGCATGTTTCATAAAATAACAAGTACTTGAATTATAGGTAATAATCTTAAAGAATTAACAAAATTCCTGAACAGTCACATAATCCTAGAAGTATCAGACGATAGGAGACAAAACCACTACTGTATATAAATGCTACAATTTAAAAAAAATTATCATTAACTAACACTAATAAAAACTGCATACTAGCTTATGTAGGAAGCTTTTATGAAAATTACAAGTCCATCTCTATAATGCTTGTAATCAGTTTTAAAGAACTGAAGCATCTATGAAAAAGCAACAACCCTTATTCACAGAACAAATGTCCTTCTAACTTGGATTCCGTATGTTTATATTTCCTTTTAACCACATCCATCTTTGCTTGACCCTTCTGTTATTTTTAAATTACTCAAATGCCTAACTAATTATGTCTAGCAGTCTGTTCTGGCTCTTGGTTGATATAGCTGGGACAAAACTTTCCCTTAGACAAAAACTAGTATCTGTGATTTTGTGGGAAAAAAATCATTTCATTCTACTCTTGTTATAAAGTTTTTCAGGAGAAGAAACCACACAAAAAGCTCTTCTCTGATACTTGGTGTGCTCCAGGTGGTACTCGCATTGAATCTAAATGCAATGGCTGGCTTCCCAATATGGTATGCATTTCTTCGAAGAAGTCACAATTTAGAATTTTTATGGTCATATCCAGTCTCCATCTTGCATAGAAAAATCTTAAAACATTTCTAATACAGTTATTTCCATCTTTTTTTCTCATTTAAATATTAAGTAGCATAGAATAAAAAATTACTCAGTTGTATGCCTCTATTCCTCCCTTCCAGAGAAAGGGTACAAAATCTGAAGTTGTCTAATGGTCGAAGGCACAATCCATGGCAAGAAAAGAGATGTTAACTTTGCTCAGTAGGTCATCTCTCCTGTCAGGGCAGCTGGAGATAGGACACAGAAGCACATACTGGAGAGACACCAAAGGATGAGTTACCTAGCCCCAGTGAGTTAAATGTGCACATGAGGGACAGCAACTAAAGTTGTGCCGATTCCTACTGACCCCAAAATGCTAAGCCACTATCTTACTGGTACTGCATTAGAGAATCTGCTAGCCTATATTTTCTATATGGTGGATGTGATTGTATATATCATATTGGTTAGCTGTGGCATATTAAATTGTGTTATTACACTTAAATGACTGTTCTTCAGCCAAACTTGGCAGGTAAAAAAAAAAAGCTTAGAGTATGTAGGATAAATAATAATACTTTAAATTCATGTCACTCTCCCACCTAGGAATCTCAAACCATAGGAATAATACTTTCAGCCAATCCTGCTCTTTTTCAGCTACAGAAGAAGTAGGATTATACAACCTTCACAAAGCAGGTGAGACAAACATTCAATATATTAAGTTGTTTAAGTTGTTTCCTGAAATGGCAGACTTTGTTGTTAGCCTGAGCTTTTTTTGTCCTCTGGAAAAGTACCAATGTTGTACAATATTTCAAAAGCCACTGGGCTGTAACTAATTGAATAGTAAAACCCATGTGGTCCAGATCTGAAAGATCGTTACCCTTGACTCCTCCATGGTATGAGGAGAATGCTTGACAAATTGTAAGAAACCAGTAAATGTTAGACAGTTGGATGACAGATAGATGGGCACGCAGACCCCTATGAGCGTGTCCTGTTACTGATGATGTTCACATGGCCATGTGATAGCAATGTTAGTCACAGGCAAAACAGTAATAAGCACTAGTTCCATAATGATAATTCTCGGTGTGATCTCCAGGTCAATGTGCGTAGGGCACAGCTTCCTCTCCAGTGTACTGTGACACAGTTGTGTGCCATGAAGGGTTTACGGATGTGCTGGGAAGATCAACCCCCTCAGCCTCTGGGGTGAGCGGGAAGAGCTGGAGCACAGAAACTTCCAGCCAGATACCTTTCCATTTATCTCTGTGGGTTAGACATGTAGTTTTTTTGTTTTGTTTTGTTTTGTTTTTTTTGATTGAAAAACACTGGGGAAGATGGACCTAGCATATTGATATCACATCTGTAGTGGAGAACAGATTGATAAGAAGATAGGAGAAACAGGAAGACATTATGTGACATCTGGGATGGAACTTTCTAATAATAATTCTTAAATATTCTGGTCTTCAGTTCTTTTTGTATTCTCAATGTTCAGAAATTGCCTGAAATATTCTCCTGCAAAGGAAGTGTTTTTGTACTAAACAAAGCCTTTATTTCTAAATAAGATTTCTTTGTTTAGAAAGTACTGAATGAACTTTAGGTAACTGTGAAAAGCCAATTTAGGAGAGAATCAGTAAAATGTATTTGGAGGATAAGAGGAAAACAAACCATTGAAAAGATAACAGTTGAGGACAAAGTGGCAAATCAGAAAAGGATAATGATCTATTTGACTAATGAATGGGTAAAGAAGCTGGTGTGTATATACAATGGAATATTACTCAGCCATAAAAAAGAATGAAATCTTGCTATTTGCAACAAGATAGATGGAACTAGAGCATATTATGCCAAGTGAAATTAGTCAGAGAAAGACAAATACCGTATGATCTCACCTCCATGTGGAATTTGAGAAACAAGACATATGAACATAGGGGAAGGGAAGGAAAAATAAAAGAAGATAAAAACAGAGAAGGAGGCAAACCACAAGAGACTCTTAACTATAGAGAACAAACAGGTTGCTGGAGGGGAAGGGTGGTAGAGGGATGGGTTAACTGGGTGATGGGCATTAAGGAGGGCACTTGATGGAAAGAACACTGGATGTTATGTATAATTGATGAATCACTAAATTTTACTCCTAAAACTAATATTACACTTTGTTAGTGTTATGTTAACAAACTTGAATTTAAAGAACATCTTGGAAGGAAAAAAAAGGCGGGGGGAAGAAAAGGGTAACAATTACCCAGGATCATGGGGAGTTTAGAAAACCATGGAGCCAATGAACTTTCTGTATGACTTAGGAGAAAACACAAATGGTTCAGGAGAGTTCTTGCTTAGGTACATGGCTTCTATAAGACCTCAATTACTTAATTAACAAAAGGCAAAACATAGCAAAAGGTATTTCCGCTTTTTTTCAACTGTCATAAAACTGGTTGAACTTTCTCACTTTGACTAATACCAAGTTGAATAAACACACTGGAGCTGAGGAAGTACTGAATGCTGGCAAGGTACAGACTGCTAAATGACAGTGTGGGTACAGATCATCTACTGTCTTTTTATATTATTATTTTAAATTTCACTTGGGCTAAAATAGAAATGGCCATCAGGATTATTCGTAGATTGTATATCTATAACCCAGTGAGGGAAAGAGTTTTTCAGAAAAGAAATAATAATAAAGACAAATTTCCTCTCTTTCATCAATCTTCATTTAAAACACAGGACATGAAACTAAAGTTATTATTTCAAACTGGGCATTCTTAACACTTTTCTCCCATTCGCCAAATGGAAAATGAAGTTTTTGTTTTGTTTTTAACTTTTGTTAGTTGGACACCATGTTCTTAGAATTTTCTAAATGTTTTTTTAACTAGCTCTAAAAATCAAAGTAAAGCCAAGGGAGAAAGGAGAATTCTTACAACCCACATATTCAGATTTATCAAGGAAAAAAAAAAAAGAAAAACCTCCTTCGTATTCTGTATGGTGTCAAATAAGCACAGGACTGGGAAATAGACACACTAAGATTTGAATGCTGGTTTTGTCATTTCTCTCTGTGTGCCTATAGGCCATATAGTGAAACTCTCTGAGTTCTGTTTTCCTCAGCTATAATATCTGAGATGATACATCTTCTTCGTGTAGTTCTAAGTATTAAGTAAGAAAACAGATGTAAAGTTGCCTGACATGTAATGGACACACAGTAAATTGTGGCTCTTATTTCTTCAAAGGAAAAAAAAGGATTTAATGTTTAAAAAACTCGAAGATTGAAAGATTTCTAATTTAATTCTTATACATAATCACCAAACAATGATGATTATATCACTTCTGATTTATAATTAATTAACAGTCATCCTGCATTTGTCTTCATTCCATTTCCTATTGTTCTTTTTGTCCTGATGTTACTATTCCTTGCTCTGTAAGTCTTTTGGGAGTAGAAAAATAGTTTATTTAAACATCTTCACACTTACAATTCTCCCAAAGAATGGAACTGGAAATTGAGAATGTGAAAGAAGAGTTCTATATGAATTAGTAAAATTTGTAAAACATAAAATGGAAAAGTATGGTTTTATGTGTACAAATGATAACAAGTCACACTTTAATTAATGCAGGTAGTTAGTTCATCTAATATAACAAAAACAAGGAAAAAGCCAACAATATCTAAGCACAATCTAGAAGACATAGAGCTATTTTTATCTAGCACATCACTATTTATGAAGTTTTTTTTTTATTTAGGTTAATGTATTAGATTACTTCTTGCATTAGATAACTTACTCTTTGTCCTTTAGGACCTTGACTCCCAGGTGGTCCTCTTGCCCCCACATGACCCTACTCATTGAAAATTTAAAAATCAGTAACAGAAGTCACAGAAATGTTAGCAAAATAGCAAAAACTTTTTTTAATGTCACGTAATTCTCCTTGGGAATTCTTAAAATAAAATTGATTAATCTCCTTTAAAATTTCCTTTATTTATGAAATAAATGCCATACTTCCCTCCCCCATTATTCTGCTATTCTTCCCTTCCCCCGCATTCCAACTAGTTTTCAGGAGGAACCAACCCATGGAGTGACAGTGAAAAGAGAAAAATAAATAACCATTCAGCCAGTCTGACTAGTTTAATCAGCTTGGTCCATCAAAAAAGCAATGGCTGTTGCTGCAAGATTTCTTTCTCATTATTCTAGACATTAATGATAATTATAATAGAGTTTTTTTCCCATTACAATGAAAATGTCACAAATTACACCAAATATGTCACAAATAGATGTAATGAAGACTAAGTTATCTACTTATTACTAAGTCAATTACATGAATTTTTTAGACTTGATAGTTTTTCATAAAGACTTAATTAGAAAATAAAATTTATTTATTTATATGACATTAGGTAGATAAAAACAGTGAACTCTTACAGGATCGAAGATTTATTTATTATCTAATGTGAGTAAAAAGATTGGCAATCATACCAATCTACAGTTTGGAAACTGTACCAATCTCAGTCTTCCTAATTTTAGAAGTTAATAACATGCCTATCAAAGTACTGGAAAGCCAAGACTTTCTTCAAAATAACAGCTTCACAAAACAGCATAAACCATTTCTGATAATAGTTCTATTTAGGGGATTATTAAAGCTTATCTTTTTCATATTTAAGTTGATAATAATGGCCAAATTTTGATAAGCAAATTTATTTCTTGGAGTCAAGATTTGATTACCTTTCTCTATATAATAAATGGAGTATTTTCAAAACTCAAGTTTTGATCAATAAAGATATATTTTTTTCTGACTTTTATCTGGTCGTTTGAGAATACTTCCAAATTTCTAAGAAAAATATTGTAACTTATTTATGTTTTGTTTATCCACGCTCACATGTACATTTGATTACTGACTCTGTTTTCTTATATGTGGTTACTCAAAAGAAAGTTTAAATTTCTTTTTGTTTTAGGCTACACAATTGTACTGATTATTAAAAGTAAATAATATAGCAAGTAGCGGTGAGGAAGTTTAAGATACCATGAAATATTCTAGAGTGTTTTACATTGACTGAAGAGAGAAGTAGCCTCCATCAGTTTATACATTACTTATTTTGCCTAAGAATGGGAAGATTTTCTTTTTAATAAATAAATCATAGATTTAAATTTAAATAGACATTGAAGAAGGGAATACAAAGACTTTACTCACCGGTAATCCCAGGGGACCAATGGGTCCTGGATCCCCAGGAGGACCTGGATATCCCTATAATTTGAGTAAATATGAAAGACATAAAGTTTCTATCATATCTGATTATTTCCATTGAAGACAAACCAGTAAAATATAAATAGTAGTAAAAGTGATCATGTAAATAAGATCTCCCTTTCCTATCCAAGATATAAAAGGTAATGGGAAACGTACTACAGTTAGAAATGACATGATTATACAGAAGCTATATATCCTTTTATTAGTAACTCTGCCTAGAAAAGAAATTTGCTAACCAGAATCACATACTATAACCTATTGAGAAGAGAATATTCATCTTATCTTTCTGTAGGTTTTGTTACGTTATGAATAGAAGGATACTATATAGATTATGAAGACTTTTCATTGTCAGAGGCCAGAGAATTCTATAATTAAGGAATGTGAATGTGTATAAATACTCTAGAGCTTGTTAAATTTTAGAAGGAACACACCCTTTACAGCATAATTCAGAGAATTACAGCATAATTCAGAGAATCTCTTAGTAGATAATAATTCCTGATATTGATTAACCTAATGGGTATATTAAATTTCTTAGTTTACAGCAAATGGACATAGCTAAAAAAAAAAAAAATCTTATAGAGTTTTGCTGATACAACAGAAGTTAAAACTAAAGAATAACTTACGTAAAATAAATTTGTAGACAGTCTTATGTGCCACCAAATCTATTACAATATATTTTCTGAAGCAAGATTCTTTCATTGATATTTTTTGTTCTCATTCCTATCATGTTTAGAAACTATTTAATAAACTAAAAAAATACAATCTATATATAATAGTTGTCAGCTATTACTACCTTAAAGATGCAAGATAGTAAGATGAATTCTGGATTCTGATGTTTCACATATCAAAAATGACATCAGGACCACAAACGCATCTGGTCATTTGAGAATACTTCCAAATTTCTAAGAAAAATATTGTAACTTATTTATGTTTTGTTTACCCACGCTCGCATGTACACTTACGAGAGTGACAGTAATGATATGTGCTATAGAAACTATAAGCTATAAAAGAAAAGTAGAGCCCTAATCATATTCTTTTTTCATTCATTTCACTAATTTATGGTGGCTTAATTCTTCTCTTAAAGCTATAGAGTCATTTGACCAAGTCATCTGATTTTTCATGCTTTGCAGTGGCAATCAGCATTTGAAAGGTAAATTGTTCAAAGGAAAGGAAAATTCAAATGGAAATATACTGTAAAATAAACACTTTTCACTTATTTAAATTTCACTCAAGGTAATTCCACTTCTGGAATTATGATGTTCTTTGGAAACATATATTTCAAATCAATGACTCTTACCATAACACCCTTTTCTCCCTGGGGACCTAGTGGACCTGGACTTCCCCGTTCTCCCTTTTAAAACAAAGAAAAAAGAAAAACATTGAGGCAAATTAATCAGTCATGACTGAGATAAGCCTTGACAGGAAAATTGTCAGACTCATATCTTACATGCACATCTCATTCTAACTGCCAATACTTTTTAATTTACCAATTGTATATTTTTACCTTAAAGTTGCTATACTTCTAATATAATAAAAATCCTCAAAATATATTTCAAGAAATAAAATACTAAAAATATTTTTATAGTAGAAATGCTTATCATTTTGAGGCATATAAAATAGGAGGAGGATAGTAAAAGTATCAAAACATATTTTAAGAATTAACTAATTCCTATAACCATTGAACAAAATTTTATTTCTGTAATCTGTCTACCACCAAGTATAATTATAATAATCAAATATGCCATAGCACATTAAAAGAATTAAACTGATTCACATTAAAATTCCTAGGATTAGTATAGAGCATTTGACCTTGCACAGAAAAAACAAAGTCAGAATAAAAAAAATTACAAATCTAATTTTTTAAAATGAGCTCATTTTATACTTGTTAAATTGTTAATAAAAAATCAATAAGTACATAATAAGCACTTTCAATGTACTGAGAGTTGAAGAGCTATACAGAAATTTGGCTTAGAGTCTACTCTCAAGTATTTGGAGACATGATGTTAACAAAGGTCAATCAATTAGAGGACAATTAAATTGTAAATTGTGTGGTGCTTATCCTAAGTCCAGGAAGGAAAGAAATCAGGAATGATCAGAGGAATCTGAGAAGACTTTATGGAGGAGATTAGACTTTGAGTCCTACAGTCTGGCTTTGAATAAATAGAGGGAAACAGAGAGAACACTCAAGCTAAAAAAACAAACCAGTAAGAACAGGAATAAGAACAAGTATGTAATATATGAGAGGGGAGAGACAAAGGTTTATATTGGAGACTATTAGAAAATGTGTTAGATGAACTGATTAAGCCAAAATTATGTAGTACTTTGACAGCAAAGTAGAGGACCCAAAGTAATTGAGTCAACAGTAGGGAGCCAATGATGGTTTTTCAAAATGTTTCAGATAACCCATCAAAATTAGTCCTCTGCTTGTAGTATGTAGGATGGATGAGAGGATAGAAATATGACAGGATAAATTTAACATAAACTGATAAGAGTATGTTGGGGGCAGGGTGGGCTTTGACTATTAGAAAAGATAAATTACATAGAAAAAAACTCTAAGCCCTGCTAAAAGATTGGGCATAGAGAATGGAGGAAAAATGAAAGCAAAAATGGGTTTCACTTTATTTATTCCAGAAGACTGGAAGAACTGAAATAGGTATAAAGCACACTAATGGACATGAAATTATTGGGAAGAGACCAGTTTAAACCTGGGGAAAAAAGTGATAAATTTTAGACATGTAGACTTTGACTTAAACTAAACATTTCGGATAGCAATAACTGGAATATTTTCTAATTTACTCCTAGTCCTGGCTCTACTTACTCACAGAGTAGCCTTATGTAGTAATTGCAAAAGACTATCATGCTTACAATTTATATCGAGCACAACAGGTTTTAGTCAAAGACCCAAAGTTTTGGTTTATAACCTACTAGTCCATTATAAGATTCCATTAAAAAAAATTTAAAATGCCCTTGGTTTCAAGTAAAGAATTACTTTTTATTTTTTAAAAAGACTTTCCTAAATTTGAAACTCAACATGGACAATCACTCCCAAGGTAATGATTTCTAGGTCATCTTTAAGCAAATTACAATTTCCATTACAATAGCCGGGAATATGCACGAATAATTGCACACTAGATTCCAAGTGAAAAGCAAGAGATTGTGACTGAGACTTGGATAAGGTAAAGTGATAATTGAATTCCTTTCAAAACTGCTTCCTTTAGGGAGCTTGCTCTGATAAAGTTGATTTAAATATGATCTAGTCATAAATCTAGACCATCAGTTTCATCTTTTCTCTTCAGACCACATCATCACAACGCAAAGAGTAGTCTGACCTTTATAAATTAGAAACATATATCCCATTAGCTATATTTCAATATATTTAAGATGTTCAAGACAGATGGTATATTTTAAGTTATGAGTGATTTCTAATCAACATAAAATGCCATATGAATGTCTCCTGTTTGAGTTTAGCCTGGAATTCTTATCATTAGAAAAAAAAATGAAAGGCATTACCTTTTCACCAATGCTTCCAGTAGTCCCAACTTCTCCAGGTAAACCAACAGGTCCCTTTTAGGAAAAAAATATAACAGAAAATACACTTTTTACAACATTGCTATTACAGCATTTTGGTTTTAAGTCACCTTAACCCATGTTTCTTTTTAACTCATCCTAAATTTTATCTTAGAGTAAAATTCTTCCTAGTATAGATATCCAGCCTATGACTTCACATCAAAAAGTAATCTATTCATTCAATCAACAAATATATATGAATGTCTAATATGGGGCAGGCCCTGAGCTGGGAGGCACTTAGTTTCATATCCAAACATAGTCCTTGACCTTGTGGAATTTGTAATCCAGGGGATGTTATAAAGAACTGTAGTTTTCATAGCTTCTAGATGTGGATATATCAACTCATGAAGTCATTTCTGTGACTTCTTTGAAAATTCCCAATATTAGCACACATCCATTCATTAATCCATTGTCATTCAAGAAATATTTGGTGCCTGCTCTGTGCTGGTACTACATTGCTTTGCTGAGATTTCGTTAGCAAGTAAAGCAGACCCAGGCTCTCACGAGGCAAAAAGTCTGATACAGAGACTAAAACCAACTAAATTAAAAAGTAATAATTACAAATCATCACATTGGCTTATAAAGGAAACAACTGTGATAACGAGGTAGAGACTGAAAGAGAAGAGAGGGTAAAGCTCAGGTCTGACATCTAATCTGAAAGCTGAAGAATAAGAAGAGGCCAGTTGGCCAAGAGAAGAAAGGAGAAAGAGTGTTCTAGATGAGTAAACAGCTTGAGTAAAGAGTGAATTTAGTGCACTGAAAGGAATGAAAGAATGCAGTCAGTAACACTGTTACAAAGTGAACAAGGCTCAGTGTTCATCTACCTTGTCTTTATGGATTCTACTTCAAACAATATAGCAAACAAAATAACATAGACCAAGCTGTACAACAACAACATAATCTTTCTCCTGTCTTCAGTTATGAAGCCCTTTTCTACTATTATTTAAAGATGTATGAAGCATTTTCTTTTTCAATAGCTATACTTTGTTTAAATAGATTATTGTATGATAATATAAATTAGCATATAGAAGGCACCTAAATCATGAAAAAAAATGATTTGCTATGTTGAAGCTAACTGAAGTTAAAGCATGGGGTATGATTTTATCTACATATCAATCTCTCCCTCACTCCCCTACCTACCTCTCTGCCTACCTACCTACTTATTTATCTACTCCTCATGGATACACCATGTATGGTAAGCACTTCCTGTGTGTCTTATTTAATCCTCACAAGAGCCATATTTGGTAGTATTATCCTGCTGCTCTTACAGATAAGGCAGGTGAGTTAAATAGCTTGCTGAGGTGGATGCGTTTAAGTAGTGTGGTTGAGTTTAAGTGGCTATTGAGCACTTAAAATGTAGCAGATCAAAACTGACATGTGCAGTAAATGTAAAAGACATCAGATTTTGAAGACTTACTACAAAAAGAATGAAAAAATTAAATCACTGTTTAAATTGATTACATTTTAAAATGAATGTTTTGGTAATATTGCTTGGTTTAAATAAAATATTAGTAAAATCAATTTCATCTGCATCTTTTTACCTTTGTAAATATAGCTGTTGAAAAATGTTAAATGACATTTGTGACTGGCCTTGTATCTCTACTGGACAGCACAAATCTATATTCTCAAAAACTATTCTAATGTTAATGGTTATATCCATTAGAAGTGATCTAATATATTTCTATGATTACTGATTTTAAGAGCATTAACACTTTCACTCTGAGACAATGATCAATAGTTAATCAAATCTGAGAAGAACAATGAAATATAAATATTTGTGAGACAGTAAACAAAATATCAGAAACTGAACACAGACTAATATTGATTCAGGGGAAAAACCCTTTTCCTAACACATATAATCTAGGTGTGTGAATGGAGTAGGCCCAATTGACTTATCCCAGTATTGACTATGTGTACCAGATCAATGTCACCTACAGAGAACTATTTTGCTTAGACCATAGCAGTTGCTTACTAATTAACGGAAGCTGAATTAGGTACTAAGATTTAAAAATCCAGAGATTTTATATATGAAGATTAATAAGATTCCTAGTTTTAGATGACCTAGCAAGCAAAGACAAGCATTTTCAAAGGTAAATCTGGATGGATCTAAGCAACAGTTACTACTTAGATGCATTCTTTTCGTTCGCCACAGTCCATACCAATTGCTCTTAACTCTTATTACTATATATTACCTGCTTCCAATAGGGCATTTGAGTTTGTCAGTACTGATGTCAAGTATTAGGAGGTGCAGTCTACCAAATTTGGAAGAAATAAGTTCTCACTGGAAAATGGGCAGTTCATAGGCTTATATCTTTGTCCACAGGGAATCGTTAATAAAACTTATAATGTATTAAGACTCTGATTCCTCCCAACAGTTTTCTTTAGTTTCTTCTATCTGTTTTCAAGTTATACACTTATGGAGAAAATTCTAAATTAGTGTTGTAGGAATGATGTACATTTTCCCAAAGGTGAAATGTATAAAATTTCATTCATAATTATTTCATTAGTTATTATCTACCAGGTATAAGACACTATACTAGTCAATTTAGAAATAACTAATAACTAAAATACAAAGAAGATAGCAAAAATATTACATGAAGATAAAGTACTATAGAATATCAGATAAAGTTAAGTCAGCAAACTGTGACCCCAAAAGCTGGCTACCTCTTTTTCTAAGTTTCACTAAGACATAGCAATGTCTACTTGTTTAGTAATTCTCTATGTCTGCTTTTGCCCTACAAAGGCAGAGCTTAGTAGATGTGAGAGAGTCTGTAGGGCCCACAGAGCCCAAACCATTTCTCTTGGGTATTTAAGAGAACTACAAAGCTACAAAACTACAAAACTACAAACCACTGAAGCTGTAGCCTTCATTTATAAGAACTATCAGAAATTTATACTTTTTTGACCAAGAATTTTCATTTAAAAAGTTTCAAAACACTGATTCTATATCTAACACACATTAAGGAAAATGACAAAGCCTAGAGCCAAAACACACTGTGTGTTAAGAGCTAGACAACTTTATAATAATTGAAAATATTTCATTTTTTATAAAATAGGATACGTAATAGCCTATTTATAGATTTTGTTAGCTAAAGCAGAAATTCCGAAGGCAAAAAGCCTTGCATATAATAAATCACTTGTTAGAACTGAAAAGAAGTATTATTTTCTTCAAAAAGTCAGTAAAACTCTAAAATACACTAGTTCTATTTTTTTAAGTAACCACATCCTCCTTATTCACTAAAGACTAATATAAAATTGGAATATTTCCTAGTTGAAACTAAAATGTTTAAAAAAACTTTGACATAAAGTTCATAGACTTGACAATTCTGCCTTAACTGTGGCTTAGAACTTGTTTATATTGTTTCTAATTTTCTTTTTGGTACAGAAACAACTGCAGGTATAAGATAAAATAAAATAATTCAGAGCCCACATCTCTTTAAACTCACTTGAAAATGGGATATTAGAAGGCTAATTCTCGAGGATGTAGCTCAGTTTTATCTTAGAAACATATTAATTTCAATGTTTGCACTTATTAGTGTTACTGAGTTTATCCACTTTTAAAAAATTTTTAGAAGTTATCTTACTATAATAAAAGCAATATTTGGTTATACTATATGAAATTGCTGATATCTGACTTTTTTTTTAAACCTTAAACATTGGTAATTTGACATGATTCAATCTAGTATAAAACTTATAGGGTAGGAGAAACAGAAGACTGGCCATGATGAGAAAGTGACAACTTTAAGCACTACATCAGAAAATCTATTTCCATTCTATTATTTACTTCTCCTCCTTAAGATCTTATACATTCACACGTTTGCTGAAGATAGTGAAAATACAGACTTCTTGTCAGTCTAGACAGATACGGGGAAGATGCAGAAAAGTGGAAATACAGTGCAGGTAATCAATCTGTGTAAGAAAGAGGAATGTGTTTTTAGATAAGACGGATATGAGATGTATATTGGACATTCTGGTAGGAACATTCGCAACACAATTGAGTACACAGGCAAGATAATTACAAAGAGTAACTGAGTAGATGCATCACCGAAGAGAGTATGGGGCTGAGAAAAGGAAGGACCAAGAACAACAACATTTAGCAAGCAGGATGGAAAAAGGAAACTTACAGAATTGACTATATAAAGAAAGTATACTGTCAAAAGGAGGATATTGTCAGGGTAGTTGGGTGGCTCAGTCAGTTAAGCATCTGACTCTTGATGTCAGCTCAGGTCATGATCTCAGGGTTGGGAGATCTAGCTCTGCATTGGCCTTACATTCAGTGCATTGTCTGGTTGTCCCTCTCCTTCTGTTTTTCCCCATTCTTGAACACGCTCTCTCTCTCAAATGAATATATAAAGTCTTAAAAAAAAAAAAACCTAAAGGAGGATATTGTCTATTTATTTTTGTCAATAATGTTTTTTTTTAGACTTTTTCATTTAGGGGTAATTTTATGACTTGACAAACATGAATGGGCCTTTTCTGTTTATTTCAAAATACATCATTGTTCCTAAAAGGCTAACCATTGTATCATTTCACCCCGATTTTCAAATGAAACCTATAAGCTTAGGATATATTTGACAGTGTGATGTGGACTAAGCAACTTCAGCTCATTGTGCCTCCTCCTTTACCATTCAGGAAGATGTAACCTCAATTTCATTAGTCTGCATGTTTTATAAAGCAAGGGTAATGTCTTATCTGATACTACATCCCTTATACCTGGCATACTTCTTGGAATACAGAACATAATTACAAATACATGTTGAATGAATGAGTCAACAAATTAGATGGAGCAGTAGCGGTGGAAACAGATGAGCTGCCCACATCACCAGCAGAGATGCATAACCAGAGAGGCCTAGATCCAAAGACTAACTAAAGTGAGAGTATAAAGGCATGTCCATTTTTGCCTAATACGGGATTACTCTGTTGGGCTAATTATATGCTCCAGATCTCCCCTAAATGATTGTTTGGCTCTCATTTCCTCCAGTGGGAGGACGGAGAAA